CTTTGAGAAATTAAGTCTCGCAATTATATATGTATATATATAAGTATAAACATAATTATATGAAAAAATATGAAACTAGAAAAAACATACATGAGAATCATCAGTTAGGCCATCCCCCGTGGCACCATAGGTAACGACATTGAATATTGGAAAAACTGGTTCAAGCATTATTCTAGCACACAAGCTAGGCGAAGCAAAAATAAACATTAAAAGGACAGCAAATAGGTCCTTCATCTTAAATTTGAGAATAAAAAACACTTAGATACTACTATATGCACTGATCAAATCTAAGACTAAGAGAGCTGTAATGTACTTATGAAGTGATAAGTGGAGAGGGAACACAATTTATAGATTGTAGGATCACCACTGATGGATGAAAATTATAGTTAGAAATGATGATCTTGATTTCTTTATTCTTTTTTTTGTTACTATGAATAAGAGATTCAATCTTAAACAGAAAATATTCATTTTTTTGCCTAACAAAGAATTTGAAAACCATGTGCAATATTTCAGCCAATAACTTGCCGTGTAAAAATAAAGTTTTTTCTTGTATAGAAAATAGGGTTTTATAAGAGTTATATTGTAAGAAAAGTGATTGTGTAATGTTATAGAGATTCGTTTTGCGTGCCCTAGTTTTTTTTTTCTTCAAAAAATGTGGGTCCCACAAAATGTTGTGTGTGTAGAAAACTTTTTTGTGTCATATTAAATGATGAATATAAACCCCTAGAAAATAATATGATAAGAGATTCAATTTTAAAAACGAAACATTGATCTTCTTGCTAAACAAAGAATTTGCTAACTATGTACAATATTTCAGCCAATAATTTATGTTCCTCTCAATAAGTGCATAATTGTAAAATTAAAGTTTTTCTTTTATAGAAAATAATTCACATGATGAATAAGAGATTCAATCTTAAAAACAAAACGTTCATCTTTTTGCCTAAAAAAGAATTTGCTAACTATGGGCGATATTTCAGGGAATAATTTATGCCCCTGCTTTTTATATGTGTATTGTAAAATTAAAGTTTTTTTTTTTCTTTCGTAGAAAATAATATGATTCACTAATTCAATGTACAAAATAAAACAAATCATTTCTCAATAGTAAATTTGTTATTTTTTACCAAAACATGTATTTATGCTATATATAACTATACAAAATTATCAGTGATTTAATGTTAAAGGGATAGAAATGAATGCATGATATTCTTAAGTATGGTAAAATTAATAATACTAATCGAAAGTATTAAGTTTATTCCATATACATTAGCAGGCAATACAATCTCATCCCTATCTTTTTGTCTTTTTTTTGCCGAACAAAGAATTTGCTAATTATGGAAAATATTTGAGCCACTAATTAATATTTTTATATATATATATATATATATGTTCTTTTTTAACATGTGCATTGAAAAAAATACATTTTTTCGTTTACATAAAAAAATATGATTCACTTTGATGTTGGACAAATAAAAAAACAAAGAAAGGGCAAATCATTTCTCAATTGTAAATTTGTTCTTTTTCTACCAAAAAAATATAATTATGCTTTTTTAAAAATATTCCAATCGGTTCATTGCTTCACAACTAAACCGATTCGGGGCAGGTCCAAGATTAAGGCTTTAAACCCCTCTCAAAGGTGGTACTGGAGAGATTCGAACACATGCTCTCATCCCCACCTGCTTAGCTCTCATGCGTCAACTGAGCTAACACCATTTGGTTAATATATATATATATATATATATATATATATATATATATAATTATGCTAAACAAGTGAAGCACGACTTTCTATGCTAAACAAGTGAAGCACGACTTTAGAAAGTTTGATCTGAAAAGGCGTGTCTTTTCATGTCGAATAGATGTGTCTTTCTGTGTTGAACGGATGTGTTTTTCTGTCAACGAAAATGTGTCTTTTGAATCGTGACCTTACGATTTTTATAAATATGTAGAGAGGCAGAATTTTAGTTAACTTTTTTGAAGCATTGTACATTCATACCATAATATTAGATAGTGTGATTCCTTAGACATTCAGTTGTGTTCGTTGGGGCTCTTGATTGATAGTGTCATCATTCTTGAGACGCAATTCATTCTATCCTGAGAGACAATTGTTCATCAACCTTCGATATCCATATAGGAAACAAATTGTAACATCAGTTGGGCTCGAATTTATCTACATATTAATATCTCTTTCATATATCCTCTTCGTTCCTTATTTTTTATTGCACTTTAATTGTAGATTTAATTATAGCATCTTCGTTGCTCAGATTCAAATCTCTTAGTTATTATTCACCCACTGTCTTCAACAACATATATAACTATAAAAAAAATATTAATTTTAACGAGATAGAAATGAGTGCATGTTATTTTAAGGTACGGATAAAAAATAAATTCAAAATATTAAGTTTATTCGATATGCATTAGAAAACAATACCAAACTCATCCTTAATTATATTCATTTTTTTACCAAACAAAGAATTCGCTAATTATGGGCAATATCTCAGCCTATATTTATGTCCTTTTTCATATGTGTATTATAAAAATGAAAATTATGTTGTAAAATATTGAAAGTAATATGATTCATGTTGTGAAATATTTATGTGGATGATTATTCGATTTTTTTATAGTTTTTGATCTACCTTGTAACTATTAAATTAATGGTGAATCGAAATGTAACTCATGACTTTGATCTTTGATGTACCTTTCTAAACCACCATGCATGTGAGTTGAAATTTAATTATTCATGTTGCGAAATATTTATGTGGATAATTATTTGATTTTTTATGGCTTTTAAGTTTATGTATCTTGTAACTATTATATTAATGGTGAGTTAAAGTGTAACTCATGAGTACTTTTGATGAAACCACCACGTGAGTTGAAATTTAATATTAATGTAGTAAAATATTTATGTGGATGATTATTTGGTTTCTTATAATTTTATGTATCATGTAACTATTACATCAACGATGAGTTGAGGTGGAATTCATGACTTTTGATGTACTTTGCAATTAGAGGTGGCAAAGCGGATTGCCCGCCCCGCCCCGCCTTTGAAAATGGGCTAGATATCTCAGTTCGCCCCGTCCCGTTTGGGCGGGCGAAGCGGACTGCCCGCCAAACCCGTGACATTTTACACTAAAAATTAAAAAAAAAAAATCAACCCAGACAAGCTGGCGAGACGGGCTTGGCGAGCAGCGGGTTTGAGAAACTCAGTCCGCCCCGTTTGGCAGGAGGGGCGGGCCTGACCCATTTTGCCAGCTCTATTTGTAACCACCACGTGAGTTGAAATTTAATTTTTCATGTTGTAAAATATTTATGTGGATAATTATTTGGTTTCTTATAAGTTATAACTTTTGATATACCTTATAACTATTACGTACATTAACTTTTGATATACCTTAACCACCACGTCAGTTAAAATTTAATTATTCCCAGTCCTATATAAGGACACGAGTTCTATGAAAAATGCAATTATTAGTTGATTCAGAAGTTGATAACATTCCTATGATTTCTCTTTAATTTTAATATATTTTCCCTTCACTTTCCTTTCTCTATTTCTTCCTTTTATTTTATAACAATTACTAATTTATGATGCAATTTACAAAATAAAAAAAACTAATCATTTGTCAATTGTAAATTAGTTATATTTTTAACAAAAAAATATAATTATGCTAAACAAGTGAAGTATGACTTTGCAAAATAAAACGAATATATAACAATACAAGATTATTAGTTTGGAACTATGACGATACCAAACTCATCCTTACAACAATACAAGTGAAGCATGACTTTAGAAAATAAAACCAATGTAGGTATTAATTACTATACAAAATTATTAGTGATTTAATGTTAATGAGATAGAAATGAACGCATGATATTCTTAAGTATGGTAAAAAGAATACTAATCGAAAGTGTTAAGTTTATTTTATTTTATTTTTTGTAAAAACCAGAGAATAAGTTACATCTGACGGATCATCCTAGAAGGAGGAACAGAGTATTCTAACCTCAAGGTGATATACTTGATTGTCATAATGTATCCCAAGAATAGAGTCTCAAGTTCGATCTTTGTTGAGATATATAGTCCCACATCATTGATTGTGTGGGCAACTAATGTGACCTTTATAAAACCTTGGACACTCCCACCGTTTGAGCTAGCTTTTAGGGTGGTGACCTCAAGGTTCTTAACAATCTTTGAAAAAATTCTCTGGGAGTGACGGCGAAATGTTTATGCTCTAAACCTCAATGGGAGGTAGTGCCATCCTATCTCTGATTTATTACACCTTCTGTTTCAATGGAGAGTTAACTCTCTAGATGGCTAAAGGTAATTGAATGGGAATAGCTTCTAGATTTATCAGGGGGAAATATTTTTTGAACACAGTAATTAAGGTTTTGAAGGAAAGTCTCTCCCTAATAAGACCCCGCAGGAGGATTATTCCACATTTGAGAAGTATGTTACAAGGTTGACAAAAAAAAAACTGGATAACCCAAATTTGTTAGACAGGTCAAGGGGAGTCGAGTCCATGGCAGTAGACCACATAATGAGCTAAATTAGATCAATCATATCAAATGAATCCAATATTATATTTTAACTCAAAACATTACGGTATTGGATTAATGAATCCTCTCACTTATACAGACTTTATTTAGCTCATTATCAACTGATATAGAATTCCATCACACTTGAATATGCCAACACAATTAAGCACATACTCAGGGAAGCCAACCTTAAGTGCTGACATTATAGTCAACCCGAGCTAGCTGTGGATGGAATTTCTTTGTCGGGTCGCACCACTGACTTTTCAGGCCGGCCACATGTTGGGTAAAATACAAACCACTTACAACAATTTTCTTACCAAACCGGGAAAAAAAAAAAAAGGAGCAGCATTAGAAGTTTTCTACATTAACCTTCTAATCAGTTTCATCACTCTTCCATCATTCTAAACTAACGTAATGTATACCAAATGTCTAAGCCATGAAGATTGGAGCAAATTGTACACCACTTCTGATCATCAATGTTGAAGTACAGAAGTCCAGTCAGATTGTGAACTAAGCACTTAAATTAACTACTGTCACATTACAAGAAGTTAGCAGTACAAGAAGTTGAACATCATGAGGGCTGCAGACAATACAAAGCTAAAAGCAGAAACAAAATAATTCTAAGAAAAAACTTGTGATACTAGAATTAATGGTCAATCAGTCCCCACTTGAACAGCCCCTACAACCACAATGAACACACTCTATAACCTTCTCTTCCCTGAGTTGCTTGGGCACACGGCAAACACAAGTGGTGGCAAAATTGTGATTGCGTGGCTGCATGCAACTCAAGCAACATAAACGTTCATAACCAGGCTGCAATTCAAACAAAAAACAGTGATTTAAGTATCTAAATCCAAGAAAGCACAAATGAATTATATATTGGAAAAACACGAATTAGGTTTACTCATTATCCCATAAGTTAATATCTGAATGATAACGTGAAGTGTCTAAAGTAGTTTCCCTCACAATCAAGACATATTTATATCTAATCATCATAATGCGTATGCAGTTAATATTGAGTGGTAGTAGTGGCATTCAGAATCTTTGTATGCATAGTATGGAACCACATACACAACCAGTGTATACGTAAAAAAAAATAGAAAACACATGAGAGGTACCTTCTTCCATTTTGCAATTAGATTTCGATCGGCATATCCTTGCTCTAAACAGAATTCATACAATTCTTTAGAAATTTCCTTCCTCTGATGGTAGAGGTCAAATATGTAGCGGCTCTTCTGATGTGCAATCTTAAATATAGGCCATAGTGTTTCACATTTTCTTTTACCATCATGTGGATCATTCTCAGCTGCCACAGAAATAAAAAGGTTAAAACTTAAAAACTATCAGTTATATATAATTCAGGAACAGCATAATAAAATTTCATAACATATGCAGAACATAAAAGATTCCAACCTTCCCTCATCTTTGCTTGAAGTTCACGGAGTGTAGGTTCAATTAATTCCCAGCCCTCTGGATACGTAACACGGTTTGTCATTACCTTTGGCATCTTAGTATCTGTAAAATAAAAATATGCCTTCTAATTAAGGATGAATAGCCATACACTCAACCAAGCTAAGCAAACACAATCTAATAAGTAAACAATATTAGACAAGTTATCAAGATAGGCAAATCATCAAGCAGCAGTGCTATAGAACGATGTTATTTTCTTAAATTTTTAAATATTGTATAATGTATCTTATGATACTTTGACAAATAAAACTAATGACAAAATTATTGTAGTACTTGCATTAAGCATAATTGATAATATATTATCGAATAACTCTTTCATTCTCCATATAATAAATTACCAATTCGCATTTGGAGGGTTTATACATGGGACGGATAAACAATCGACTTCTCTCATAAAACTAGTACCGTTTGTCTTCATGCCATTTCAGTTTTCAAAAGAAAAATATGCACAGAAACAAGGGACACCAGTTCTGGTATCTGGTCAAACAGAACCAAGAACCAGAGATTGAAAATAATCAATTTGCTCTCAGGTCTTATGTTTCCTATTAAAGATGATTAAAAGAGTTGATTGAATGTCTCCCCAACACAGAATTGATGGCAAGGATCTGTCACAGAGTTGCTCAAAGAGGAAAAGGAAAATATATGGGAGCAACTGTTTGCTGTTTAATTTTTGGATAATGTTTGTATAGTTAATAACGTAGATAAGTTATCTATATATACATTCACTCTCAAACCGATATTAAAAAATTATAACGAGAAAGACTATTATAACCCTAAAATAAATTATAAATACAAAAAATAAAAAATATCTTGATTTCCGCCCCAACACGAGTCATGTTGTTTTGATTTGAGTTAAACGTAGATAACTTATACACATTGAGTAGATACAAAACAAACCCCTTTTTTTTCCCATAATCTTTTTTAAAATCAAGGCACAGTTATGTCTCTGTTTTCTTCCAAACCATCAAAAGGTATTAGTAATGGTGTTATTTTTCACTTTATTTATTTATTTATTTTCAAAATATTGGATGACAACGTGTATCTCCGATACAAGAGTTTCTTAAGATATTTTGATGAAAGCAGTACAGTCTGAAGTCTCCGATACATATCTTAGAAACAAGTTTGAATCCTTGTTTGTCACCCAACCCACATGCTCTAATATTATGGATAAAGTTGAAGGCATTTTGAGATACATAATCTCAAACTAGAAAGATATATAGTTGAAGGCTATGTGTCTAAAAGACAAAGAGCAAGAGCAGAAGAAACGTGATTGCTCACGAATTTCCAAACCAGTAAATGAAAGAGTAAAAGTTTAAATCGTAAACAAGGACAAGAAAAAAACATGGTAGAACCAAGGGCAAGTGCCATCAATTATATGCAAAATTCGGAAACAAATGTTAAAGAAAAGAACCCATTGTCCAGACAATCAACGAAACATACCGCGCTGTGTCGATTGTGCTCGGCTTTGAGGCTTTACGCTGACGCAACGGGGTTCCCACTATTCTCTGAATCTGTAGCACCGTCGCATAAGGTTTAAGGTTTTCACTTTTTCGGACTGGTTAGTATAAGTTAGGCTTTACTTGAAGTTGAAGGGAAAACTGTCTATCATTTAAAAAGATGTAAATTGGTATAAAAAAAAAATAGAGAAAGAAGGAGAGAGTGTGGACAAAATATATATATATATATAAAGGTGTGAGTCACACTTTTTTGTGAGAGTGAAATAATATAAGCTGTATCGTTTAAAAGGATAAATATTTTCTCTTAATTTAAATAAGTTATAAAAATATTACCCGACTGTTAGTACCTGCATTACTTCCAAATTTTAAGTCTCTTATAATTTATATTTAAAAAATAAAAAATTTGACCTAGTTCTATAACAGTTAGCCTCTTTAAGATTATTAGACATTCAGTAATTAAAAGAATAATTAAAATAATATTATTTTATTATTTAAAATTATTAAAATCATAATTTTTTTATTTTATTTAAAATAACTAATATCATATAGGTCAACCTGTAAGTTTATAGGCTCCACATATACAAAAAAATACATAGCCCGTTTTCTAAATAGATTTTTAAAAAAATCTAGACCTATTCTATTTTACTATTATAATAGGCAAAGTCTGATTTAATATAGACTAAGTCATATGTCCCTGTAAGCCGACTTAACCCGTTTACACCTCTAATTGTCACATTTTACAGCAAAGAGCAAACTCGTTTGTCTTGCTTATATTCTCCTAGATTTTTTTACTGTCTAAAATACCACATAATGTTTTAATTTTATTAATTAAAGAAAAATCATTTTCTCATTTTACATAAAATAATTATCTCTGACTCTTCTCACAAAAATTATGTCATCACTTTCTTTCTTTTTAATGAGTGGTGGCTCCATCACATCATATATATATATATATATAGTAGAAAATATATATCTCTAATAATAGGAGAAAATAGAACTACTTAATTAATTTATGATTTTTATGTTTCTCTTACGTCCTATACACATTTAAAGTCTATAATTTTTTTTCACTCTTTTTTTGCCACGTGACTTCGTATGGACCCATATACTTTTATATGTGTAGAAGATAATTTTGTATCTTATAATATAAAAATCTTAAACATTTAATTTATATGTTTAATATTTATTTCTTTCGGTTTTGATTTCAAAGGTAAAAAAGACAAGTTATAAACATTAACCAAAACTTATAACAGTAGAAAAATGTTTGTTGAACACAGAAAAAAAAAATAAGAAAATGGAAATGTTTGTTGAAGAAAGAATTTCGTGAATGTACATACCCTCGCAAAGATTAAAATGCCACAATGAATTAATTTAGAAAAAAAATATATATAAATGAATAATGATTATTGTATTTTTGAAAAGTTTATAAATACGTGTAGATAATAATTAATATCATTGTAATAGTTAAAAAGTAAATATTAGGGTTTAGAGAAGAATGGCCCTCCCATCTCACTCTTGATGTTTGCGGACGATCTCGTTCTCTTTGGGGAAGCCACCCTTGATCAGCTGGACGTGATGGTTGATTGTTTAAAGTGGTTCTGTGATTCTTCAGGCCAAGTGGTTAGTATAGAGAAAATTGTAATTTATTTCTCTAAAAATACCGATCACACTCTTCGGGCAAGCATTTCCCAGGCTAGTGGTTTCAAACAGGCAGATTCGCTTAGAAAGTACTTAGGGGTTACGATGTATCATGTAAGGGGCAAAAGGAGGAACTTTTCCAACATACTTGAACGTATAAAAACAAAACTCTCTAACTAGAAAAGCCACCTTCTTTCTTTTGCGGGGCGCACAACATTAGCAAAAGTTGCCATTAGTGCCATCCCCTCATACCAGATGCAGCATGGCTTCTTACCTACCTCTATTTGCAAGGAGATAGAGCAGATCCAACGTGGATTTATTTGGGGAGACACCATAGATAAAAAGAAGGTGAACTTACTGTCATGGGAGACCCTTTGCAAACCCAAATCTGTTGGGGGTTGGGACTCCAAGATCTTTAAGTGCTAAATGAAGTGTTCATGTATAAAGTTGTGTGGCAAATTATGAATAACAAAGATGATCTTTGGGTGCAAGTTCTTCTGGGTAAATATTAGAGGAGTTTGGATATAGGAGGCAAATCAAAGCCCTAAACTATGACTCCTGCCTATGGAAAGGACTCGGCAAGCAACATCTGGGGTGATTTCTTAAAGTGTGTAAAGTGGGATGTGGGTAATGGCAATGACATTCTATTCTGGAAGGACCTGTGGACTCCTCTAGATGCCCCTCTTAAGCAATTGTCTAGCTTAACCCTTTCCCTTATAGACTTACAATCGACAATTGAGGATATGGTTAACGTAAACACTGGATAGTGGAATATGGATTTTATCCAAAGGTGCCTGCCCCCATTTGTGTCTCAAACCATCCGCGCGATCATCCCTCCCTCTGATGAAAGGGGCCTTGATCAATTAGTTTGGAATCACAGTCCATACCAAGGGAGCGTTGTAAAGAAAATGTATATGTATATCAAGAACTTTGATCCTGCTAATTCAGATCCCATTTGGAAGCGTGTATGGCACTGGAAGGGCCCCTATAGGACCAGAACTCTTGCATGGCTGGTCCTGCATAGGCGTATTCTTCCCAAACGATATACCTCAAGATGGGGTGGATCTTCCTTATGTCACATTTGTCCTCATAAGTCGGATGATATATCCCATGTCCTTAGAAGGTGTGGCAGATCAACGCCTATCTGGGTGGCTTGGTTTGCTGGTAACCTCCCTGCTGATTTCATCACTCTCCCCCATGAAGACTGGATTCGCAAAAACCTCAACAATGGCTGGGCTCACCCTCAGGCTTCGGAGTGGCGTGACATCTTCTTAGTTACTATCTGGTTCTTATGGATGTGGAGGAATAATGAAGTTCATGATCCCCTCTTCACTAGACCCCATAATCCTATCCTTTCTATTTCCTCTTATATCAGTGAAATCAAAGCTTGCTGGGACTGCTCTTACTCCTGCCCAGAACATGGCTCTGAGTATTCAACCTGTGAGATGGCAGTCTCCTCCTCAAGGTGTTATGAAATTTAATGTGGATGCAGTTGTCTCAAAGACCTCGAAGCTGGCATCTTGTGGTGGCCTTCTCCGTGACCACAAAGGATCCTGGATCACTGGCTTCACATATAAAGTGGGAATTTGCAACCCTTTGTGCGCTGAGTTATGGGTAATTCTCAAAGGTCTTCAATGTGCTTGGAGCGTGAATGCTACTTCCTTAATTATCGAGAGTGACTCTCTTCTAGCTATTCAGGCTATAGAGAATGACTCTAGGAACTCCCCCACAGGGCTTTTGTGTCCTGTATCCAACAATGACATGATCTACAGTGGCAAATTTCCTTCCACCATACTCGCAGGGATGGAAGTAGGTGTGCCCATTGGCTGGATGGTGTTGCTGCCCATGCTCATGAGAATTACGTTGTTCTTCCTAGATGTTCGCAAGGACTTTTTTCTATGTCGGGATCTGATGCCCAGCTGATTAACATTGTTTAACTTTATTTTTTCTTTTGGGCTTAGGCCCCTCTTTTGTACTAAAAAAAAGTAAATATTATTAAGCCACTAGGACTGGAGGGTGTGAGTAGTGGATAGTAGGTGCTGTGTTCGATTCTCAATATATTGAAAAAAAGGAATAAGCATTTTTTTATATCCTAGATCAATAAATATTTTACTTTTTATTTTATAATTTTATTTTATTTTTTAACTAGTATCCTAAAAATGCTTTTAATAATATTTGTACATAGACATCACTACTTCCAAGTGTCATTATTTATTTTTACCCTTATAATACAAATAAGATTTTTTTCATTTAACTTTTTTTTTATTTTTTAATCCTCTAATTTTGTTTTTCGTTTAATTTTTTTAATCTTTTTTTTCATATGACTTTTTTTTAACTTTGTTTAACCATAAATAAAGAGTGGCAATAACAGTGTTAATTCAACCTTTCTAGAAATAGAGGAAATAAACAAGTTAAATTGCATATAATAGAGAAGGTATACTTTATGAAACAAGAGAAGGAAAGGAACTACTTGGTAGTTTCTGCAGCCTTAAAATCTCTTGTTTAGGTTTACATTTGTGCCGGCAGTTTGACAAATGGCCTTGTCCCTGCAGTAGCAAAATGGAATCGATTGACCTCCTTTAATACTAATCATGGAAGAATCTCGAGTTGCAACACAAAATTTCTGTTATACAAAAAAAAAAAAATTGAATATTATTTAAAGCTAGTTTAAATTTAATGTGTTTACCGTTTCTTTTGTTAAAATGCGATCAATAAATAGGAGTTGATTTTTATTATGTCAAAATTGTAGTTTGCAAATTATAGTATATTTTAACATTTATTTTTCATTCAAATGATGTTTTTTCATTTACTTAATAAATTTTATAAGTCATATTAAATATAAGATAACATTTAATAATTTATATTAAACATTTTTAATTATTAAAAGAAATTAAATATTTTTTATTTTTATTTTTACATTGTTAACCAGAATTTCTTAGGAAACATGGGAACAGAGACTAAGTTAAAGTCAACTGTATGGAAATGGTAATTGGAATGGCGTCTTTTTGTTGCTTAGATTCTGTCTTTTCTGTCTTTCCAATCGAAGAAGAGGAGAGCTTCTAGAAGCAGATACAAAGATCCATTCCATTGGAAGAAAATGGATGCCTCTGGCGGCGGCGGTGGTCCGGCACCGTTCCTACAGAAGACATACGAGATGGTGGATGATTCATCGACTGACGAGGTAGTATCATGGAGCTCCACAAACAACAGCTTCATCGTGTGGAACCCAGCAGAGTTCGGTCGTGTTCTTCTTCCAACCTATTTCAAACACAACAACTTCTCCAGCTTCATCCGTCAGCTTAATACCTATGTATCTCACTCCCCTATAACTATAATCATTGCTTTATGTTATCTGATGCTATGCTAAGCTATGTACTTCATTTCATTTCATGTCTTTTTTTTTTTTTTTTGGTGTGGATATGGTTGTGCAAAAATTGTGCAAATAGCGTGCGTTACCTGATGGAAATCAACTTCAATAACAAAAAAGGGGCAGATTTATAAACCCTGACACTAGTCTGGTTTAGGTTGATGAACCATGTTCTCTTTGGTAGTTAAATTTAGTTTAGTCATTGGTTGCATGTGAAACTTTTTTCGGCTTAATCTTTATATGTTTATGGTGTTAATTTAGTTATTCACACCCCCAATTTTGTTTTTGTTTTTTTTTTGGCTTGACATAAAATCAACCTCTGAAGTGTCTAAAACATATTGTAAGAAAACATATAATTGATCATATTGAGCTCTGTCCATTTTTTCCTTTATTTTTTTTGTAAGGGGGTGGGGTTTTGGAAGTTATAGTACCTAATGTTATTTGATTTGGGGTTCTTTGTGTGTTCCATTGTCAGGGATTTCGAAAAATACATCCTGAGCGATGGGAGTTCGCTAATGATGATTTTGTGAAAGATCAAAAGCATCTTCTTAAGAATATTCACCGCAGGAAACCTATCCACAGTCACAGTCATCCTCCAGGTTCTCTGGTGGATCCAGAAAGGTCATCATTTGAGGAAGAAATAGAGAAACTTTCACTTGAGAAAACTACCATTGAATCCAATATTTTTGGCTTCAAACAAGATGAGTCAGCTGCAAAGCTTCATCTGGAAGATATGCAGCAGCGATTAGATGATGTGGAGAAGAGGCAGAAAAATTTGCTCAGCTTCTTCGAAAAGGCTCTTCACAATCCTACTTTTGTTGAACAAATTTCTCGCAAAATTGAGTCCATGGATTTATCAGCATATAACAAGAAAAGGCGATTGCCTCAGGTTGATCATTTGCAGCCTGTTGCTGAAAATATCTTTGTTGACAACAATAGCAATTCTAGAATGGAATTTGGAAATATTTTCCATCAAGATTTCTCAAATAAACTCAGACTGGAATTGTCACCAGCTGTTTCAGATATGAACTTGGTATCATGCAGTACACAGAGTTCAAATGAAGATGGAGAAAGCCCACATAAGATGCTATCTAGAGGAGAACCAATAGAAGTGCAGACAAGAACAGCTCTTGGATTTGCACCTGAAACATTAGACCTTGCGGATACTGGAACATCTTTTACTTTTAAGATGGATTCATGTTTATCACAAAGAGCTACAGCTGCTGAGAGCCTGCACTTGTTGAAACCAAATTGTGAAGAAGGTGATAGTTATATATCCTGCCTTTTAAACCTAAGCCTGGCATCTTCTACGTTACAAGTCAAAAGAAATTCATGCACGGAAAGATCACCCCAAATGAACTGTCCCGAAATTGGCAATTTGGCTGAATCAAGATTTTATGCCAATGATAAAGAGCATGATGGTGGAGCTTCTTCAAACATAAATGTGGCTAATGAGGTTAATAATTTAGCTTCATCAGACGAGGCTCCTAGTAACAACCAAGGGACCACAGCTGCTCCAGCTAGAGTAAATGATGTGTTTTGGGAACAGTTCCTTACAGAAAGACCAGGCTGATCAGACAATGAAGAGTCAATATCCAGCTACAAAGCAAATGCATGTGATGAGCAAGATGAAGGCTCTGGAAACGTTAAGAATAAGGATCTGCTCACACTTTGAGAGTTTTGCCTTGGAGCCTCACTAGTCACTAGTTTTAGTATTGGTATGCGAGATTTGCATGATAAAAAACTATAATTTGAAACTTGACATCAAATTGTGTAAAATATGATTCCTCTTTTATGTAAAATCTAGATAATATGTATTTGATTTGGGCACGGAATCATTTATGTATACAAAGTAATTAGCTACTTGGCAGTTTAATGGATATTCATGTTTTGAATAGTTTTAACAGTGCCATAATTCCTGTAAATTTATGCGAATAATTGCATGGCTTTTCTTGGTGGGATGGTGAGTAGAGATTGAATGGAATGGAATGGAATGTGGTGGAATGCATCCCTGTTCTGCATTTTGATTTCCACTCAAGTGAAGTGGGGATGTGATGTGGCCATCACTTTTGCAGTTTTCATTGCATATATTTTCGCATTTATCTGTTAAACAATAAAAGTAATCATAATCTCATTCTATGCTATCCTTTCTCATTTCATTTTCACTCCATTATTATATATCATTCTATTTTATCTTCCACTAAGGTTCACATCCTTTATATGATGGAAAGTTGTGGTGACATCAGCAACTAATACAGCTTCTGAACAGTGTTGCTGTATAAATGACCAGGATGCATGATGCTATTTTCATCCCAATTGTACTAATTGATAATTTGATTAAGACTTTAGAACACCATAACGAGGATGTCTTCGGCCATAATAATTATATCTGAAGAGGCTGGAAAGCATTAGTATTTATTCAAACCACATATTTTTATGTAGCATTGTAGCTTCATAACTCCATCACTGGTTGAATTTTTTTACGATTTCCTTGGAATGGTAGGACTTTCGTTTTCTCCTACATTATTGTCTTCAATAATTCAGTCAGATCTATGAATTTTTTTCCTCCCCTAGACCTGTTTTTTTTCAACTTCAACATAGACATTGTTTTCTAGTTTCGTTCCTATTCAACTATGCATGTGACTTAGATAAACTAAACAACAGCGCATTCTAGGAAGACTAGTAACAAAACTTCAATAGGCCTATTAGTTTAGTTATATAAAAATGCGACTAGAATAAACCTACTATGCCAGAAGAAAAAAATAATTATTGAAATCTTTTTTTATAAGAATTAAATTTTATTTGATTTGTTAAAATATTGAATAATGAAAATTATAATTTATAAAAAAAAATTGAAAATCTCAAAGACTATAAATAGTATAGCAATTTATTCCGTAAAGGTGAACGATATTACATGGAAAAAGTTATATTTATAAACTTTTGTTTACAAACTACACTATGTCTGATCGATAATACACTCTTGAATAAAATATTATCGGTCATACATAATACAATTTGTAAGTTTGTCAATATAACCTTACTCATATTAATAAAGCATAAATAGATGAAAAAATGTATTTAGGAAGAATGATTCATTAATCAAATAAAGTATTCTATTATGCAATCCTCGATAAGAATACTGATAACTCAAAAAAAAAAAAAAAAAATTGACTTATTCTTCTTTAACAAATTCATTCACTGTATACTAATTCTTGGCTTTAATCATTTCTTCCATGCTTGGTTGCTGGCAGTAATGATGGCACTAATAGTGTTTGACCAGTTGCAACATTACACCTATACCTGAGGCCTACCCAATTTATGACCCTTCAACAACCAAGCATTTCACTTTCACAAACCCAACATCAAACTGAAAATATCAAAGCTCCTAACACAACAATGTCCCAACAGAGATTCATTTTCAGGATCTTACTATGTCTGGCACTTGTTCAGTTTCACACACATATCCCAATCTGCAATGGACTATCATTTGTTGACCTCAATCTGTTGAAACACAGTGAAATGGCTGTAATGACCAAAAGGGTTTGCACCAAGAGCATTGGGGAGTGCTTGACAGAACCAGAGATGGATTCAGAGACCAACAGAAGAGTTCTGATAATGGAGAAAAAGTACATTAGCTATGGGACACTGAAGAGGGACATGGTTCCATGTGATAGGGCTGGAGCTTCTTACTACAATTGTCATGCAAGACAAGCAAATCCTTATAATAGAGGCTGTGAGGTAATTACTGGATGTGCAAGAGGTGTTCAAGCCATCAAGACTTGATAAAGAGTCATTAGAATGGATGAAGGAAAGGGAGCCAAGTGGCTGTACTTTCTTCTTCCTTCTCTTTTTTTCCCTTTTTCCCATCTGAGTTTTCCTCTGTAGTTAAGGTCATGATCTTATATGCTTTCTATTTACTTTATTTTTAAACTTATAATATGACTAGGGTATCTATGAAAATATCTAATTTCTTTCCGAGCAAATATCACTCCAGATGTGACATTTTCCTTGGCATTATGATGCCTATTTGTTACAAAATACGTTTTGTAGAAATTTGGGGTTACAATTTCAGTTTGGCGACATCATTTTGTTACAAAGTAAGAGCTGAAGTCTTGGAACATTAAGTAATATCCAGTTTGGCAAAAAATATATATATAACCAAATGCTCATGCAACAACTAATTACAGGAATTAGTTGCAACATTTAACCTTTTTCTTGAATTTGTGGGGATAACCTTCCATTATTAAGATAGAAAATTGTAAGAATGATAAGTATTTACACCGAAGCTAGGTTTATTTTCTTGGAGGTCTCTTGTCAGAAAGAAATCAAGTTTTAGAGGGGATATTCTATCTGCATGAGGCAATGGAAACAATTACTTATATTTGATTTAATACGAGGCTTTTCATAATGAGTCAAACTGTGTTCTGAAGAAGACAACTCCTAATACCAGATTTTGATTTCAAGGGAAAAGAAGTTTAATTTCTTCATATGGGTATATAGAGAAAACAAGAACTAAAAAATATGAATCACAAAACCACCTTCTCTTATTGGAAATTGCAATTTCCATAAATCAAAATTCACGGGTCTTTGCCATGATCTAATCTTAGTTGATTGAGTTTTGTTGTGAGATCTTGTGTTTTTATGAACAACTCCTGCAGGTCTTACACTTTTACTGCTCTTTATTTTCTTCAATGTTTCTAGAGCGGGTTCTGAGAATTAAGAAATGTGTAGTAGATTGCATCAAGTGATCTCTATTGCCACTTATTCAATCTCTTGAACGGTGATAGTCACTGCTACTTGCTAGTATCTTGGCTTATCCTAACTCATATACATGTTCAAAAGCATATCTTATTACACTATTCTTTTTAGTGTTTTTCTATTACTATATATTTTAATTGAAATTATTTTCCTTGATTACAAAAGCACTTTTCTCCCGTTCTCCTTTTAGCTTATTTAACTGCATCTGTTGAATAATAAATATTGTGGTGTCCTAAAGACAGTGTGACACCCCTTCAATAGAAGGGCCAAGTCCTTCCTTCATCATGATGTAATTCCATCCTTCTAGCTTATACAATTTCTTTTTACACATCTCATAAAGGTGGATGGACTGAATAAATAATTAGAACAGTATTCAACTGACAGGATGTTACAAAAGATGTATGGTTGTTAGTTAATGAACTTGACAGGTATATATAGTTGTGGTTAAAAAAGATGGTAGCGTTATTTTGTCATCACTTTCATATGATTTCTTCTTTCATTGTATCATAATTTTTTTATATCACATTATAATCTCAACTTTTTGCGCGTATTTGTTTATAAACTGTTGTTGATTGTTTTAAATGGTAACACTCGTGTAAGTTTTAAAAAGGGGGGACAATGTTTTCCACTTAATGTTGGAAAATTTTTGCTTGAAATGATAGTATCTTTATGTCAAAGTTAGGAATATGGTTCGTCAAGTTCTGAGAATTATTCACATTTGCTCAATTCTATCATTTGTGTTATGCTTGATAAACTTATGGTAATGGTAGGCGCCGCTTACAAGCAACAATTAAAAAAAAAAAGGGCTAATGGGCTATGCATTGATTGGTGCGCCTGCCTGCTGGATCCAATTTGAAACATCATCTTTCGTAATGTCAACATAGAAACAGGACCCAACTACCCACCTTCTCATCCTTTTTTCAACGCCAATTTCCAAATCCAACATAATCGACCCTCTCTACACCCGATAATGATAAAACAAATAAAATAAAAAATAATTGGTGCTGTAATGATAATATTAAATAGTAAAATAAAATAAGAAGACCAAATAGAAATATGTTAGGATTAACAGCTTCTTGAAAAAAATAAAGAAGGAAGCTATGCATGCGTTTAATTCATCTTTGTTCTCCATACTGGCCCATCAGTTAAGTCCAATTTTTTAAAGCCCAACATTTTAGAGGACATTTATCGGAATTCATAGAGGTTCGTCACTAGGACATTTTTCTTTTTCTAAACTGCCCCTGTACACTAGGCAACATGTCTTGTCTCAAGACAAAACATGGCTTAATAAGACACAGTTGGCTCCCTTACTGGAGATGACTCTTCTCTCTAAATACCCCTCACACATGAAGGGGATCCTCTCTTCTACATGGTATTAGAGACTCGCCGCCCCCCCCCACTTTCTCTTGTGGAGTTTCTTAGCACAGGTAAGCTGGGCCTGTTGCATTGTCCACTCTTTTAGCCCACTGGCTCTCGTGTGAGGGGGCGTGTTGAGATATATAGTCTCACATTGGTTGTATGAGCAACTAATGTAGCCTTTATTGGGCACTCTCACCCTTAGAGCTAGTTTTGGGTGGTGTATCCCAAGGTTCTTTACACCATCTTTGCCATAAACACCTCCCTTTTATGCACATCATGGAAGCAAGCCTTGCTTTGATCTCTATCATTGTCACTATAAACACCTATATATCAACATACTTCACTTCACTCTTCATGGGATATATCTAAGTACCACAAACGGTACAGTATTGAAATTAATTTAAATTTGTTTCCATGGATGAAAATCAGAGTGAACCTTATGGAAGCCAATTCAAATTTTACTTTTTGTAGTCACCCCATTTTACAGGAAAAAAACAATGAGCCACTTTCCATGTGTGGCGAAAACGAGCAGGCCTTGAATTCGAAAATGGAGGTTATCGTCTTCACCAACAACTGAAAACTTATATTTGCTTTTATGAATGATTAAATTACCAAGGAAATGGGCATTCGTTATATGATTAAATATGTGAGGAGTGGGTTTGGTGCACTTACCACTTAGGTGGCGTAAGACCGTTCAATGCATATTTATCTTAATCTAGAAGGAAGTCCAATAATAGCACATGGATATTGCATTTTATGTAAAGTGATGCTATAGGTATAGCATCATTACTTGAAAGAAATAGTAGTTATTTGTTTTCGAGATTTGTTTCATATGCTAATACACCTACCACGCTTAACCCCACCAGCTATTATATTTATACCTACCCTTTTAATTAGGAGTTACCATAGTATTACTTTTATTTTTTATTTTTTTCTTTCCTATATTTAATTATTTGTTGGGGAATAAGGAAGACACGACGCTTCAGTGTTCTGCATCTAACAGCTATTCCGTTCCTCCTGTTTTCCCTTTTTGTCTTTTCGATTACTCAATAGTTGAATTATTTATTTTTATCTCATATTAGCCTTTGCAAAATTCTTACTCTCTCTTTTTTTGGTAAAAAGCAAAATTCTTACTTAACATTAGTGGAAGCTTACAAATACAATGAAATTATTAAAAGAATTAGGGAAAGTTCTAATTTTATCAATTTCGAAATTTTGATAAATTAATTTTTCATTTAATGTTTAACGTCCATTTCAATTTCGAAAACATATGAATAATCACTTTAAAAGAAAAGAAACAAATAAGTACTGCACAAGTAATTTAAATGATTTGAAACGTAAAATATAAATTAAAAAATATATATTTAAGAGAAGATTGATTTAATTGGTACAAAATTATTTTACTTACAATAAAAATTAAAATATAATTAAAATTTTCATTTTTAAAAAATTCCAATATTTAATTTAATTAATGAATTATTATTTTGTTAGTAATTTGTAAATATCTTATTATGCCAAATATTGAATAAAAAATTAGTCTTCATCACGGTGAACATTTCTCCAACATCCTTAATTTTCATCATTTTCAAATATTTAACATACAACTTAATATAATACAAAAAGGGTGTTGTTTTTCTCCTGTTATTGGAAAAAACAACACTCCTCCCTCGTACACAAATTTTTAATCTAAATATCCGATACATATATATATATATATATATATATATATATATATATATATATATATATATATATATATATGTGGTTCGCTTTTTGTCATGTGACATGACTAGAGCACTTTCCTGCACACACAAATCAAGTGTGGGTCTCACGCTTAAAAAAAAAAGTCAGACCAAAATCAGGATACGACGTCGTATTCTTAAGATACGGACGCGGATCCTTGTTACAGGAATGAACAGTGTCATTCCTGCAACATGATTCTTATATTTCCCATATATATATATATATATATATATATATATATATGTCATATTTTTTTCTTGAAAAGTTTGGAAAACTGCGAGGCCGAGTAATAAAGTTCAATCAACATAATCAGAATGCAACTTCTTTTTAGGACCAACCAGCAAGCAGTGTGAGGCATAACTTTCCATCCCTATGACTAAGGGGAGGATTATAATTTCAGAGGGATAATATATCTGTAAGAAAATAGGGGACTGAATCAACTTATTCCGTGGAATTGCAACGAATATGAAGGCAAATATTTATGACAGTTATATTCTCATTGACAAGTGCTTTAATTTGGTCAAATAATTACTGAATACTGAATCTTATTCAACATATTCCGTAGCATTATGCTAGGCGAACACTCGTTCTCATAGCTGCCAACCGTTACGGGTTTGTGTTGAGGACATCCAAATTCAAATGATTTTTTTAAGGAGCTTTTGGTGGTCATTTTCAGCCACATCTTCAAGAAACGGAATCAACCAACAGGTAGTCTCACAATGGAAAAAAATATAACATATTTATATTACCCCTGCTTTTATAGTTATTATCTTTCATATCCCTATTTTTTTTCTATTTTTATTAAGGCAGTACCTACTTCAATTTCACCAAAAATATGCTCCTTACAAAGTTGTATATAACAGGATGCTTTGTGTCTAAATTGAATTGGTCCAACTCGCAATAATTGAGTTTTCTTATGGTAAATGCTAGTGTAAGGTGTTGTCTTTAACTTTTTAATCATTCCCTCGCTGCTTTTAATCTTTCTTTTTCTTTTACTGCAGAAGAAAAGATAAACCAGATTTTCCCCGTTTTGATAATTTTGGGCAATGTTGTAGTTTGGTGATATTCTTTCTGTGATTTTACGAATGTTGTTAAGCATAGTTTCCATTTTTATTTTTCTATTTCTAAAACTATTTCATTGTTATATTTGAATAGTAGGTCGATGAAATTGTCCATTTATTTAGACAAAGTTGCTTTTCAATTACCCTGGATCCAACAGTAATTACGTGACATTCTAACCTTTTCTGGTTGTAAAATATGTGCAGAACAATTATTTTGTTATTTTACTTTCAATTTGATCGTAAATTTCAGTTTTGTTTTGAGGTAGTTTTTTAACCTTTTGCCAAGTGCTTTTGCGAATGTGAGTGAAGTAGCAAACATAAATTATAAGAGATATTTCAAAACTGGAGATCAGATAGGAAGTACAATTTTCCCCTATTTTTTCTTATTTCGTTTCATATATCAAAGATGGACATAAACACACACTCTAGCTACTAAATAATAACCCACACAGCCGCAACCAAAGCCTTATTCAAACCCATTTGGTCTCATTTCAAAGGGAGACCCCAAATAGGTTTTTTTGCTCTTACCCTTCAACCCAATGGATCGAATTGAGATCCTACGAAAATCAGAAAACTCCAATTCTACCACAAATCTGAAAATTGTAATGAGAAAATTCCAAAAAATAAAGTAAAACAATCAAGCCGACAGATAAAAATCCTTCTTCTTTCCCCTCAATATCATCCCTTGATCGTCTCAGTACCTGTAGTGAGCAGGCTTGTATGGACCCTCAACGGGCACACTGATGTAATCTGCCTGGTCTTTGCTAAGCATGGTGAGCTTAGCTCCAAGCTTACCAAGATGGAGAGCAGCCACTTTCTCATCAAGGTGCTTAGGCAAAACGTAAACCTTCTTCTCATACTTGCCGGAAGCCTTCTCCTTCCACAACTCAAGCTGAGCAATGACCTGGTTGGTGAAGGAGCAGGACATCACAAAACTAGGGTGGCCAGTGGCACAACCCAAGTTCATCAAACGACCCTCAGCCAAGACAATGATACCCGCATTGGTCTCAGGGAAAACCCATCTGTCTGTTTGAGGCTTAATAGTGATGCGCTTGACACCAGGGTATGTCTCGAGCCCGAGCATGTCGATTTCATTGTCAAAGTGACCAATGTTGCACACAATAGCATTGTTCTTCATTTTCTTCATGTGGTCAACCATGATAATATCCTTGTTACCGGTGGTGGTACAAAAGATATCAGCCTCAGAGACAACATCCTCGAGGGTAAGAACTTGAAGACCTTCCATGAGAGCCTGAAGAGCACAAATGGGATCAATCTCGGTCACAATGACACGAGCCCCAGCCTGCTTCATTGCAGCAGCACAACCCTTGCCAACATCACCATACCCACAGACAACAGCAACCTTGCCAGCAATCATCACATCAGTGGCTCTCATCAGTCCATCGGGGAGCGAGTGACGGCAACCATACAAGTTATCAAACTGTCATCACACACACATCTTTGTCAGACTACATCAGCAAACACATTTTAATTCAGAACTAGATCCACTGATCAGGAGCAATTCAAATCCACATATTCAACGACCCACTTGTTATTTTCAAATAACCTAATTTAATAATTGCTCCTTAACCGTAACATACAATCTAACAATAAAAAGAAAAAACACAATAATTTAATAAAGGGAAGGATATACTTACCACCAAAAAATTTTTACAACCTTTACAACTTAATCACTATTGATTTCCGTTAATCGAACTGGTTATAATTTATTGAAAATTATTAAGTCGTATTTATTAATTAATTATTAATTCCCATAAATTATAACCGTTAGATTGACGAAAATCAATGATAATTAAGTTGGTGGTAAATGTTGTAAATTTTTTTTGGAGGTAAGTATATCTTTTCCCATTTAATAATACTCAACATAAAATATAAACAAGTCAAGACAGGCTTCTTTGAGGACATATATCAAACAGTTGATAGATCAAGGAACACATAATAGATCTGAATTAAATTCAAAAGGGAAATTACCTTGCTCTTGGTGACAGAGTCATTGACATTGATAGCAGGGAACAAGAGGGTGCCATTGGCCTGCATCTGATAGAGTCTCTTGACACCAGTGGTGGTTTCTTCGGAGACACCAACGAGCCTCTCCTTCATCTTGTGGTACCTCTTGGGATCGGTCTTCAACCCATCCCTGATAATGGTAAGCACGAGCTGAAACTCCGCATTGTCGGTGGAAGCCGGATCGGGGAGCTGACCGGTCTGCTCGTAAGCCTCCTCAGCCTTGACACCCTCATGGATGAGGAGTGTGGCGTCACCACCGTCATCGACGATGAGATCAGGGCCGCCGGTGGGGCCCCAATCAAGGGAGCGCTCGGTGCACCACCAGTATTCCTGGAGAGTCTCACCCTTCCAGGCGAAGACGGCGGCGCTGTCGCGGGCGATGGCGGCGGCGGCGTGGTCCTGGGTGGAGAAAATGTTGCAGGAGCACCAGCGGACTTCGGCGCCGAGGGCGGTGAGGGTTTCGATGAGGACGGCGGTTTGGATGGTCATGTGGAGGGAACCGGTGATCCTGGCACCTTTAAAAGGTTGGGAGGGACCGAACTCAGTGCGACATGACATGAGACCAGGCATTTCAACCTCGGCGAGCTCGATCTCCAACCTACCGAAGTCCGCTTGGGACATGTCCTTAACCTTGTATTCCCTTCCACTCGTTGTTTTCTCAACCAACAATGCCATGATGTGCCTGAGGAATAACAACAACAACAACTACAACAGATAGATGAAATAAAGAGAGAGAGAGAGAAGAGCGAACGAAGAAAATGGGAGTGTGAGGGTGTGTATAAATACAAGTGTGGGAAATGGAGCGCGCGACTAAGCGAGTTTCCTAAACTATTGCTAAACAAATTAGCATCCACCTCTAATTTCCTATAACCTTGCTCATTCACCAGTATCACACTCCTCCTCTCACCTTTGCTTCTGCTATCTTTTACTAAAAAAAATTAAAAATAAAAATATGAGATAGAATATTGTAACAATCAATTTCATCGTTAGATCGATTATATTGATCCAACGATTATATTTATTTTCATCTTTGTATATTATGATTTCCCATATTTAAAGTGAAAACAACAAATATGAAAAATCATAACTATACAAATATGAAAATAAATATAAAGTATTAAATATGGAGAATCATAACCATACAAAGATAAAAATAAATATAATCGTTGGATTAACGTAATCGATCTAACGGTAGAATTGATTGATAGTAACATTGATAATAAATATCATATCCTTAAATTAAATAGGAAAGTAAAAGGCTTTCTCGAAAAGTAAAATAGCACGGAAAAGTTTGTCGGGTTAAGTTGCCTGGTTGTAAAGGCACTCCTTCAACTATACTGCTATGTAAAAAACCTCCAACGACGCCACCGTCAGCATCAACAGAGATTTCAGCGTGCTTTAATAAAATAAATAAATCTTATTTCTTTCTTAATTGTTTTATACAGTGCATGTGATCCATACTTTTGGTTTTATCTTTGTCGCATGGAGTGTAATTTCACTCATTAAATAAATAATTTATGGCTTTTCAAGGCTGTTGTTCAAACTTTACTATGCATATATGTGTATATATGCACTTTAAATATCCTTATCCTGAAAATTATGGAATCGATACCTTCTGAAAATAGCAGATTATATATAATTATTGTATTTTACTTGCCCTAGAGCGCCTTCGCCCTGTATTAAGTATATTTGTTACCACGCACATTATTTCATCACTTCATGTGCACAACCGTTCTTGTTTCACCAAAGCATATAGAGGAATTACCACACAAATAAAAACTCTCAAACAACTTCAATCTTATCTAGATAGATACATTTGAACACTCTTCAAACACACTTTATCCGTTAGTATACTAGCATAAAAAAATGTTTATAGAGTGAAATTTGACTTCCTTTAGGATTTACTTTTTTTTTTAATGACGTATGAGTTGCATGTCAATAACAATTTCTATATGATGTTAAAGATTTAATATCTCGTGTGAAATTTGAGATCCATTAACCACCTATAGCAAAATATTCTCAAAATCATTTTCAGCTAGTTAATTTTGATGTTTCATTGAGTCTTTCCCATGTTACCTAAAATGATTTATGGACTTGGTTTAAATTCATGATTTCCTTACTCCAAATATATATATAATAGGTCTCTCAATTATATACATACAGAGTGGGTGGGGAGAGAAAAAGAGAGAGAATTTATTAGGGAAAAATGTCTATCATTTAAAATTACACAATTTATATCCTTTCACTCTCACAAAGAGGTGGGACCCACACCTTTATTTATTTTTTGTCAACTCTCTCTCCTCCTTTATCTATCTCTTTCTCTCTTAAAATGACACAACTTTACATCCTTTAAAATTATACACACTTTTCCCAATTTATTATCTTAAATCGTTAGACTGCCAAAACCATTCATGCGTAGAGAGAGAAAGAGAGACCACTTATTTTTTATCGGTACACTATCCAAAGGACGACGAGATGCCAACATATTTCATGATTCTTTACAGGGGAACATGTATCTCCTGTAATATGAGAGACAATATTCTTCTTACATATATATAAAAATGAGTGTCTCCTCTTTTTTTTAATTGGAATGGAATCCACAATGCCTTTGAGTCTGCAACATAAAAGAATATACCTCCTGCTACAAGGAAAAATACAAATCCTTTTTTATATTATCTTTCATCCACAAAATTAAAAGAAAAGAGCACGATGAAAAAGAAAGAAAATAAAAAATTATTAAAATACGATCATTTCTCTTAAAATAATACAAAGTAATTTTTTTTCTTATATATATAACAACCTAAGTTCAAAATCAAATTCCAATTATAGACCTAAGTTTATTGGAAAAAAAATGTATCCACATGACAACATCCTTACAACATCTTTTATGGTTTTTAAAAAAGCTACGTGGTGTGGTGATCATGGCACAAAGCCACCTACTATATTTGTCCCTGGTGTTTTGTTGGGAGCCACAACTCTCAATACACAACAGTCAACAACCCCCGATCAAGACTGCGTGGTTGGTGGATCTTTGATTGACATTATATCGGTGAAGCAGCAGGCCGGCCCCACCACCCACACCCATTACCCAATACCCAGTTTCTAACTATCTATATCTTATGCTTTCTCAATACTATTTGATTCAGAATTGAGAATACTTAGTAGTTCAAATTTGTTTTATATAACTATTAACAACTAAATACTTAATAAACTTAATATGTTAAATTAATTTTAAAGTGCCACACTTGGAACTTGAAATAGTAGATCTCAATTGATTCTAATGACACATGGCTATAATAAATAAAGGGATCGGAGTTGACATCATATATATGCGTATTTCATACAAGTATTTTTATATTCTATTATTATAAGAAATCACTCAAAAATTTAAATATTAAATTTAATTAATTAATTAATAGTTTTAATTAATTAAAATTCTTAAATAAATATTAATCAAATTGGAGTATAGAATGAAGCACTGTGTTGGCTCGTAGTAGGTGTGTGCGTCGGTGGATCTGGCAAAACTGTTACTTCAAACTCAAAGCATGTAAACGTGGGAGCGAAATGGAGGATGGCCAAAAGCATTAAAAACAACAGCACATTACGTGGTCCCCACTCATGAAGCATAACTCTCTCTCTCTCGTTGAAATATTTAATACTACTGAATTTTTTAATGCTCCTTCTCACATTATTAATTTTTTCTTTTCTTTTTTATTCTTATTATTTTTTCTCTTTTTTAATTTTACCCTCCTATTTACACTAAGGGGCCACCTAAAAAAGGTGGTTTCGGTTCACAATAAATAATCTCCTCTCTCTCGCATTTTGGGACCAACCAAAATGTGGGTCCACATGAGTATCCTGTGATATTTTGCCGGTGATGTAGTAATTAATATATGTCTATACTTCAAAAATTTGACAAACTAATACAATATGCTTCAACCCGTAATTGAAACTAAATATGTTGCCAGTAAAATATATATTCGATTCTCAATATTAATAATCCTCTTTATAAGATTATTGTAAGTTCATCCATGAAATCAATACTAAATACTAAACATCAAATTGGATAATTTGTCGCTTTCTTAAATTTTTGTCAAACCATAAAATTTTCATAGGTGGAAAAGAACGAGTAATATTTGAAGAGAAAAAAAAAAGTTACTGTGAAAAGAAGGGAGTGAGGATGTTGTCGTACTGGTACAGGAATATATAACCATGTGCTTCTCTTTTCGGCTGTCGACGGCACGGACTTTCATTTGGAAAATCGTTATGATGACAACATCATCAAACGATCAAAATGTACGTACTAAGTATTACTCAACTAAAAATATTAAGATTTTATTAGTGTTATGTTACATGATTTAAGTGTTATTTCTAACACACATAAAAAAATGGAGAGAGAAAGTGGAATGATGAAAGAGAAAGAAAAATATGTGAACCCCACCTCTTTAATGTGTGTGTAGAAAGTAATGTTATATCATGTTACATGATAAACATAAAACCCAAAATATTATCTGATTTTCTTACCTTAAAACGTTACGGTCTCTGATGATAAATAGATAAAAATATTAGAGCTGACAAAATGTCAACCCGTCAGATTTATCCGTTTAATCCATCACAAATTATTTTATATATTATGTTAAGCTTGTATAATATCCAAAAAAAAAAATCTTAGTATTCCTTACCTAAAATGAAAAATAAAAAAAAAATTATGACAAAAATTATTCACATATGGAGACGAAAATGAATTTTTAGAAATTGTAGATTAAATATTAAATATTAATCTCAAGCGAAAATGAGACTTGAGATTGAATGACAGTTTCCTAAAATGGTATGAAAGATTACTTTTGGTCTAGGACTACCAGGTTATCTGACGAGATCGTGAAACTACAACAAGGTGATCTCAATAAAAAACAATTTAAGTGTAATTTATGAAAGTATGTGTAATTTAATTAAATAAAACGAATAATAAGATAAACATAAAAAAATTAGCAAAACACAATTTAAATTTAATTAATATAACAACCAAAAATAAAAGAATTGTATAATTGCGAAATGAAGTTCCTAAACTGTTTTATTTAATGACAAAATAAAAAGTCACTTTTGAGTAAGGTAAATTAATTAAAAACAAAAAAATATTTTGACAATAAGAATATACGGCGCATCATTTAATTACTATATTTTAACATATATGTTTATCAAAATAATGTAAAGGCTAAAATATCTACAAATATTTGATTGATATGAAACGTGATAGGATGACAATCTCATAATCACGATAAGTTGAGCTGATAAAGTAGTGATATTTTATATTTATAAGAAAATATTAAAAAGTGTAAGTATCTAAACCACATACTTGATATAAGTGAATTCTAATTTGATTTAATTATTTGTTTGTTGTACCTATAACTAAATTGGAAGCTAAGGAAGAGCATATTCACATCCTCTTGAAGTGCCTCAATCATTTTTAGGAGATGTCAAGTCAAAAACTCAATGTGGAAAAAACTTGTATATACTTCTCGAAAAACACCTCTAGGGAAGTTATGGATAAAGTGGTACAAATTAGTGGTTTCAAGCGCGTAAATAACACGAGCATGTATCTTGGTGCAATGATGTAGCAAGGCAGAGTTTCTAAAAGCTTGTATGAAGAGATATTGGAGAAAGTTAAAGATAAGTTGAGTAGTTGCAGCAGCAGTGTCTCTTAGAAGCTGGCTGTATCACCCTTTGATGGTGTGTAATAATATTGAAAAAATGCAAAGAAATTTTATTTTGGGTGATAAGGACAATATCCGCAAGC